TCTAAAATATGGAGTTGTCGGAAATGAAATCACAGTTCTATTTCATCATCATGTCTGTAATATCACTAGAAATAATAAGTGCTTTTTTAGAATTTGAATATACATTTGAAGTTTGACCATTCTAAATTTCACATGATTAGGTACCCTTATCCATATTCACCACTGTTGAATCAAGAAGGTACACACATTTAATAAGTAATGGTACCTTCTTATTTTACATTCGGCACAAAATCGACATTGACAGAGTTATGTATTTTTCAGAGATCTGATAACTGTGGTATCATGTCTTGAATGACAATTGTTGCTCCAACATCAGTTGTTGGCCCCCACGTATATATTCTTTGTGGTAGGGAATTAGAATATATGTAGATAAAATGGTTTCCAGTAGTGGTATGAGGCATATACTGGTCATTTTGTTTAGATTTTTTTTTTGGGGGGGGGGACACATACACACATGCCATACCATACCACGCAGCAACACACCATATCATACTGCAACTCACAACACTGAAAACCACCACACACCACGTCACATTCCACCACTCTGCAACACACCACATCATATCACAACTCACTGCACTGAATATCATCATACCACGTCATACTGCATAATTTCACACCACATTGCATGACTCTGCATCACACTACTTTGCTGAGTGTGTTAGAGTAGCAGAGTGCTCTGGAATTGTATTTCGAAGTTAGTTATTTCAAATATTGGTCAGGACACCAACTGTACTCATCAAGTTTTTCATGGTTCTCCTCAATAACCCCCAGTAGATGTCAGGATAGTACCTCAATTAGGCCATGAGTGCTTCCTTCCAAATCCTTTCCAATTTAACATTTGTCATTCATCCTGCCATTCAGTACTAAAATAGATGCTGACAACATCCTAAAATAGCTCACAAGAAAGTAGTACACCACAGTACATTGTTCAGTATCATGCCACACCACACAGATTGCACAGTACCATAATTCACAGTGCACCACTTTGCAACACACCATATTGCTATAGCACAATGACTCATCACATCATACCTCATCATGTCACATTGCACCACTCAGCAACACGTGACATCGTACTATAACTCACTACACTGGAACACACCACAGGCCACAATCAAACCACAAATGATCACACTGAATCTCACCACACCACACTGTACCACATCATGTTAAATAGCTTACAAATGCAACGATACCATGTCTCATTTTCTTTTCTGGAAGTGAGGAAAATAGGCCAAAGATTCAACTGTAATAAACATTTTGCAAGACGGTATGTGGTTTCTTTGTATTTGCATGAATGAATTGTGTGTACTGTTGCCAGCATTGAAAAGCAGTGACAAATTTTGTAATACCACTGTTGTATTAGTGTTAAATGCACAGTAAGTGTCTTGTGGCTAAAAAGTGAAAGTATTGTGTATTTAAAATTGTACTGTTATCAGTTGTGATGGTATATCTTTGGAGTTGTACTGTTTGCTTTGCAGAGATGATTGTTGTGTGAATTTTGCCAATGTTCCTTACACACATTGGCAGGATGGTATTATGTCAGCTTGCTGAAACTGCTGTGATGGAGTACATTTTGCTATACTATTTGTGAGGAGCACATTTTGCTATACTGTTTTATCATGTTAAAGATAGAGTTTTTTTTTTAAATCTGAGAGACCTGCAAGTCTTATGAAGACTACAGCCTCAAAGTAATATCCTAGTAGAACAGGGATGTGCAAACATTGGATGGTATGGGGAATTCAAACACTTTTGGAGAATACACCAATGAAGTATCAACCTAAAACATAGTGATATTGGCAGCTTAACGGTTGCCATTTTTACAAGTTCCTGACAAAAAAAAATTGTATAATTTGTTATATTTCAAAGTATATCTGAGGTATATTGATGTATGCTGGAAGTTTGCTGCACCCATATGTCCAGGTGATTGGTTGTCATTACAGTGACATATTTGTATTGGTTTTATGTGTGATATTAGAAGCAACTAACGGGATTTGAACCCAGAAGACTTTAAACATTAAACTTGTATGTTCACCACTGGACCACTGTTGTAAACCAGAAATGGATGTTGTAGCTCCTCACAGCTCCTCTTTTATTTAAAATACAAAGGTATAATTTTTTTTTTTGTTTTAAAAAGGAGTCGAGGGTTGTATAAATTGAGTTACATCCACAGTGATTCATTACAAGGCAGCTCCAGTGATTCAGTAGTTACTGTACAAGTTTTCTTGATTCATCCCTGACCCCCGTAACATATCAAATAAAACCAATAAAAATGTCAGTCTAATAATGAACAGTGACCTGAAGTTGGAATACAACCAGTTACCCTAGTATGTTACATACTGTAACATGTATATTTTGTTAATGCAACAGTAAATAATGAAGAAAGCAGTCTTCTGGGATTTGGCACCGTGTATATGGTGCCAAATCCCAGAAGACTGCTTTCTTCATAGTCACCGCCGTGAAAGCCTCAAATCTTACATAGTAAATAATGAGTTTTGGATTTGATACCTCTATTTATTGGATAATTTCATACGTCATAACTACAGTTCATTATTATACTTTCACGATTGCTGTATCTATGACACACAAACAGTTATAACACTCTCAAGGTTAACCCATTAACTACAAGAACTGCCTTGAACGACGTCTTCCTGACGAAAACCTTTCGTGCAGTCTTTACTGCTTCTTATATAGGCTTGGCATGGACCACATTGGAAACACGGCCTCTATTACAAAACAAATCAAAAGGCCTCTGTTGTTGATGAATCTTGTTTACTGCTTGTTGCCTAGCAATGGAAAGCCCTTTTCCTATAGTTGGCCAAGAATTTTTCTTTGTGGGAACATGTTTACCTAGCTGTTCCCTAGCGACGGATATACATGTTACAGTATATATCTCTGTGGACACTGTATTGACTCAGCCATTGTCCTAAAAATTTATAGAATTTCACATTCTCTTCCATATTTATGTTCATTGTGGTCCACAGGCTGTAGTTTGTGAGATTGAGTTTCTCACAATGGTGAGTATCAAGACTGTCTTCATGGAGTGACACCATGTAGTTACACAGATAGGCACCAACATTTTGGTGGAACCTGCTGCCTCCATCTTCAGGGTAGATGATGGTGCAGCACGTTCTATTGAAATACTGGCATCTGTCTACCAAACTACACAGCATCACATCCAGAAGACTGTAATGCTGAAGATCTAGTTTGCTCATCTCTTCATTAGAACATTCTTCAAATGATTCATGTACAGTCATCACTCCCTTAATAAAGAAATCTGAAAGGTAACTAGCAATATCACTAGTCCTGATGTAATTCAGAATTATAAGTTCGATCCCTGATTCATTTGCCCGATAACTGACAGTAATTGACATCCGCAGATACTAAAATAATTTAAATTAATCTCTGATTATATAAAATCTCCATGTTAGGTGGGTCCCTTGTCACCATGGCATGGCGTGTCCTCAGATTGTGGATGGAGGAGATGCCCTCCAAATTTCAAAGGACGGTGCGACTATATTGAATAAGTAGTCGCGGACAGCCGACGGGAGAGTGGTCCTCCAGCTTGGGGATTGGGCTTGGGGCTAACAACTCCTCACCATAAAAAATAACCTTGTTACAAAAGTTCTCAAGAAGCCTTGGACCTGGAAGGATCCTCTGGATGAATGACCTAAGCTAAAGAAAACAGACATGAGATTTGGTACATGGAATGTTTGAAGTATGTATAGGGCAGGTTTGCTCAGGGCAATGGCAGAAGAAATCTTAAAATATAAGTTAAATTTAGTGGGAGTACAGGAGGTCAGATGTGACAGAGGTGCCATCACATCAACAGGAGAATATACATTTTTCTGTGGAAAGGGGAATGAAAATCATGAATTAGGTACAGGTTTTTTCGTACATAAGATAATTATACCAGCAGTTAAGAGGGTAGAGTTCATTGGTGATAGGATATCATATATATATATAAGGAGAGAAGACATTTTCAAACCAACAATTGGGAATGAGAGTTTGCATGAAATTACTAGTAATAATGGAGTTCCCACATCATAACATCCATAAATTTACTTGGACATCTCCTGATGGGAAGATACACAATCAAATCGACCATATTTTGATAGATAGGAGACAGCACTCAAGTATACTTGATGTCCGATTATTTAAGGCAGCAGATTGTGATACTGACCACTACCTGGTGGTAGCAAAGGTTAGGGAAAGTCTGGCAGTGAGCAAACAAACAACGCACAGACTTCATCAGTCTCAAGAAATTAAATAAGGTAGAGGGTAAAGAGTAAAATCATGTTGAAATCTCAGATAGGTTTGCGGCTTAGGAAAACTTTGACACTGATGTAGATGTTAATAAAGCTTGGGAAACTATTGGAGAAAATATCAAAATTTCCACCAAGGAGTCTAGGTTATTATGAAATGAAGAAGCATAAGCCATGGTTCGATGAAGGATGCTCAAAATTATTAGAGCAAAGGAAACAAACCAAATTGCAAAGGTTGCAGGATCCAAGCGATGCTTTATTGTCATTCCTTTTCAACTTTGCTTTAGATTATGCCATTTTGAAAGTCCAGGAAAATCAAGTAGGACTGAAATTAAATTGGACACATCTGCTTCTGGTCTATGCTGATGATGTAAATATATTGGGAGATAAGAAGGATGCCAAAAAGAAAAACACACAAACTTTAATTGACACTAGTGAACACATTGGGATAGAAGTAAATGCAGAGAAAATGAAGTATATGTTGTTGTCTTGTCACCAGAATGCAGGGCACAATCATGATATAAAAATAGCCCACAGATCCTCTTAAAATGTAGCACAGGCCAGATATGTTGGAATGACAGTAACAAATCAGAATTTGATTCAGGAGGATATTAGAGGAGACTGAATATGGGTAACGCACGAAAGGTAAGTGCACGAAATTGGAAAGTACAATCATGCATTTCGTCGGACGAACATGTGCACTTACCATAGTTCATGTGCGCAACTAATCAAACATAAGTTTCCTCAGTGTGCACCTGCTAATCTGGAAACCAGTTGCCTGCTTGAAATCGGCGATTCTTCTTGAAAATCGCAGTTGCGTTGCGGTTGTTAGTTTGCTTGGTGTGCCCTCGTCTAAGGCATGGAGTATACTACGGAGTAAAACCTAACAGATTAGGTACAATCGCAGAATTGGATAGTACTCAACAGTATTCCATGCACAACGTTTTCCAAAGTTCCACAGAGTCTCATTTCATGCCAGAATGTGTTGTCCAGATGATCACACAAACCTTCGGTTTTTCGTAGTGCATGCCGATTTCATGTTAGAATTGAATTAAGTCAAATTTTATGATAGTTTATGATTAATATAAATCTTGTACTTAATTTTACGCGTCTAATGGACATCCGCTTGCAGTATTGCAAGAAATAAGTCGGTCGGATATCGCATTCACAATCACACTTTTCTACTCCAGTACTTGCATACATGGCATTCGTAGACTGAACAGGCATGCCCACAAACGACATATTCAGTGACAGTGCAGTGCTGGATTAAGGTTGTTTTCCATGCATAGAAGTTGGTAAAGAAAATGAAGTTATTTATGTTTATACGTGAAGTGCCTGCATTTCTGAATAGTGAGAAGGATGTCAACGTGTGATAATAATCACGAATATTCATAATTTTATCGAAGATCATGTTCAGCAAGAAACTACATGCAGACGTAAAGAAGTCTACACTTAAAATACAAGATTTGAAGAAGGATTCTGCTACCCGCCTCAAACATCTCAAGATAATTTTAGGTGAGCTTTTGATTTATTACCATTTATACAGAGTTACACAGATTGAGATGATTGTATATTAATTATTGGCACCGTTACACATTTTGATCAGTACGTGACAACTCTTGGCGCTACTAAATTTAACAGTTTGTTTCAGTGCATAACAAGGCCTAATCATGTAGCAGCAAATAAATATAAATGCCCCGTATATCTGTCGTGATTATGATATGCAGTGAAATGTTCCTTTATTGCTTTACCTAATATCACCACTCGTCAATGTTGTTTACCTTGTGCGCTGTTAGAATCAGATCTTTTACTCATAGTTTTTTTTGTATTACTTTACTTTACTGTATTTATTGCATTATGTCAATCCATATGAGGTCAAACCAACCTATTGGATAGAGAAACTGTCATGTTTAAGTGTAAAATAATAAAATATACATACATAACCATTTTTTAACATAAGATAGTAAAATATACATTCCTAACCCATACAAGGACAAATGAAAACACTAAGAACCACTATAAATTAGTGCAATCCTATACAATAATACAAATACTGATGCAGTTGTAGTAGATACATAAACTGTGTAATTATATTATCCATAGGAGAGACAATCAAGACAAAGTGTTCATTGAGAAGTTGATTTATAATATTCATCAATACTATAAAAAGCATGTTCAGTGAAATAGATAGCTTTTTAATAAAAGTCTGAATTCTTTAATATCTTTGGAGAGCAATTTAATGTTTGAGGGTAAGTGGTTATAAATCTTGCTACCCGAGAAAAGCACTCCTTTTTGAACTATTTATAGATTTGTAGAACGTAAATATAAATTGTGATTATAACGTGTGTTGATATCATGAATATCAGTGTTATCTATAAAATGATTTCTGTTCTTGACGACAAAAAGAAGTAAGGAGAAAATGTACTGAGACTGAAGTGGCAATATTTGTAATTTTTTAAACAATCCGTGGCATGAATCCAGTCTACCCGAAACAGATATAACTCTTATTATTCTTTTTTGAATTTTGAAGATACTCTCATTATGAGGGGCATTACCCCAAAAGATAATACCATACGACAATAAGGAATGTACCTAGGAATAATATAGATCATCCTTATTGATTCTAGTGACATAAATGGCTTTATTGCCCTTATTGCATATCGAACCTTATTTAACCTTAATGATAAACCCGTAATATGGTTCTTCCAAGATAAGGTACTGTCAACATTTATTCCCAAGAATTTAGTGCAATTGATATTTGAAATAATTGAATTATTAGATATTATTTGCAATTCTATTTCCCTGTGCTTTTTTAGACAGAATTGTATAAGGTGTGATTTATCACAATTTAATGTTAGGAAGTTACTATTAAACCACATAATTGTTTCGTTCAGAACTAATTTGATATTATTTTTAAATTCTTCAGGATTCGTGTTTGATATGATAATACTTGTAACGTCAGCAAATAATATTGGATTACCTATTTTCTTAACGGATAATGGGAAATCATTTATGTAAATAAGGAACAATAAAGGCCCCAATATAGAGCCTTGTGGAACTCCATATTTAACTAGTTCCCATTTTGAAGACACTTTATTAAGTTCGATAGGTTTCATTGATACTCTCTGATATCTATTTGGTAAGTATGATCTCATTAACTTATTTACCATGCCTGAGATCCCATAGAATTCCATTTTTGCCAGGAGTATGTTGTGGTTAACACAGTCAAACGCCTTTTGTAGGTCACAGAATAAACCACCAACAAAATTCTTTTTGTCTAAAGAAGACAATATATTATTTAAAAGAATGTGTGTTGTCATTTCAGCAGATGATTTTTCTCTAAATCGAAATTGTTCAGTGACCAATATATTGTGCTTATTTATATGGAAGTATAATATTTTATAAATAATTTTTTCGATAATTTTGCAAAAAGTTGGGAGGAGCGAGATAGGCCTGAAATTCATAAATTCTGATTTATCACCCTTCTTGTATAATGGCTTACTTCTGAGAATTTCAATCTATCAGGAAATATACCTGTTTGTAGGATCTTGTTAAATATGTATGTTAAGGGTGATAAGACATACAGAGCACTAAATTTCAGAATTCTTAATGCTATCTCATCATATCCATGAGAGTTCTTAGGTTTCAGTGAAAATATTATTTTTTCAATTTCATGGGTATTCGTATTACTAAGTTTCATAGATGGAAACGAATGATAAAAATTCTAATGTAAATAAGATAAAGAATCTTTATTATTAACAGTGGCTTTCCCCGAGGAGTTTTTGATAAGTAATGTTTCGGCTACAGATGAGAAGTAATTGTTAAATGCATTTGCTATATCTAGGGAGTTACCAGATAATTGTTTTTTTAAGTTCATTGTAGTAACGTTCTCATTAGGCCCTTTATTATTAGTAAAGATTTTTACTATATTCCAAGTAGTTCTAGTCTTATTGTTAGATTTTAATAAAAGTTTATTATAATAGTACTTTTTTGCTGTCATAATAACCCTGGCTAAGATTCGACAATATTTCTTAAAGTGTTCTTTGTTATTAGGATTATTGTTGTTTCTCTAAGCTAGATAAAGTTTGATATTATGTTAGAAGCATTTGTTGCCCATTTCAGAATTGACTGTATTGAATGTTGTATATCATTTTCTATGATGTTACAGGTTGTGAGTGTCCAAAATTTGGTAATGACTTCCCATATGTTGAGATAATTTACATGGAATCTTACTTCCACAGAATTTAATATAAACGATATTTAGTTCTTGATTGCTCAAATTAGTATCAAATTTGAAATGATTTGGAAATAAGGATAGAATAGAATATAACAGGTTTTCATGCCATAGATCATCATAGGCCAAAGTCAAGAACATGTAGAATGTCATAGTACAAATAAAGTACAGGGGAACCACCCTTAATGAGCATAATTCGTTCCAGAATCTTACTCGTAATGCGAAACAATTTTTCCCACATAAATTAATGTAAAATATGATAATGTGTTCCATGCTGAAAAAAATACTCAAAAAATTTTCTGTATAACGTTTATTCAAAGAAAATTATATATACATTGTTAAGGAGCGTGAATCATATTCATCTTTTCTTCTACGCAGAATGAACCAACCTGGAATGCAAATTCGATTTGCAGAGAACCAAAAAAAAAAATCGAAATAATTAGTTTATTATTTATGATACGTATCTAATTATTTTTTCCTAGAAAGCTGTCTAGAGACATTTGTTTTTGCCGACGCTTCAAAATTTGGTGAAAATGCGACGCACATTATCATTAAATAAATTTGTAGCGCGCATAGCCACTGCTTTATTAGGGTGATGCTTCTCAATGTACAATGCAACAGTTTCCCATGCTTTCAGCATTTCTCTTATTGCACCAGAAGATTTTTGCTTTGCTGTTACCTCCTCCTCCTCCTCCTCCTCTGACAAACTCTCCTCCACAACATCTTGCTGTGCTGCCTTTGTGTCGGAGCTTGCTGCTTCACCGTGCCTTACAACGTTGTGGACGCCGGTTCTTCTCTTGAACTTCTCGAACCACCGACGGCTTCCCTTAAATGCTTCTTCTTTGGTCGTTGATGATCCTGGCGTCTTCTTAACGAGGTCGGCGAAAATCACTTTCGCCTTCTCACAAATGATGTTCTCGTTAATAGTGTTGCCTTGCAATTGCTTTTCGTTTATCCATATGAGGAGCAACCTTTGAACATCGTCAAGAATACGTAACCGTTGCGTAGATATTCTTGTCAATCGCTTTGAAGCATGTATCTCCTTAAACTTGTCCTTGTTCTTGAGGATAGTGCAAATCGTTGATGTAGACCGATTGTATGTGCGTGCTAGATCAGCCATGCTCACACCTCGTTCTCGCTTTTCACTGATTTTACGTTTTATTTCTACGGTTATTTTTATTCTCTTATGGCCGTCTTTTTTCGGCTTTTTCTTCGGGGACATTTTTGCAAGGGTTATTAAACTTTGCACACAAAAAAATCACAAATAATATGTCTGAACACAAGTTTGGAAAAATGTGTGATCACAAGCAACACTAAGATGCTAGCGGAACGAGTGCTAAACACAGACTGATGTAGCAAGCGCACAATCCGGCACTTCCCCTCTTGTCACTCGTTATGCGAAACGTCGCTTGTTAAGCGAGTCTTTTTTTTTTTTTTTACAGTTTGGTTTGCTCATTATGCGAATTACTCGTTATGAGAGGTGCTTGTTGAGTGAGGTTCCACTGTATTTATATTTAATATATAGGATAATTTACGCATTAGAAAACCAACTGTTGCTCAACTTGTGAAGCAAAGAATCAATATGTCCCTTACAAGTTAGATGATTGTCCAGCTGCAAACTGAGAAATTTTATTATTTCTACTTCTTTCAGCTTTTTTTTTTTTTTTTTTAAATTCTGATTTACAACTGGTCTGGACAGACGCTTCTGTCTGGTCGGTTCTTTAGGAACCTTGAAGATGACAGATGGTGTAATTTCAAATGGTACATTTACTGTATTTGCTATACTGTTGATCGGTGCTACTGTGTATTATTACATAATTATTATTTTCTTGTTTTCAGAAAATGTGGATGCAGAAGAAGCGAAATCTGTCTTTGAGTCCAACTTCAGTCATATCTATTACATCTTATATGACACTTTTGTGACTGCCGAGGCAAACTTACGACAACGAGGTACTTTTAATTATTTGTCATATTAAATTTCTATCATGCTGCAGGTTATGTGTAGAAAAAAGTTGCCCATTCATCCCTTTAACAAAAAAAGTTCTAGTCACTGTTCACGGAAAGAGCTTGGCATTAGGGTCTTTAAATATGAAACACATTTGCTAGTCTTCTGTGGCACATGAGCAGGAACAGCGCGACACTAGCACTAGAGTAAAAACTAATCTCCAAGATCTGCTGTCTTACCATGTTACAAAACTTCGTTCATTGCATGGTTGAATAATTTACAAAATAAAGTACTTGATCATTTCGTTTCCCACCTTGCGTGCAGGAGGTAAAGATATGTGAAGCCTCTCTAGATGCTATGAAATGTTGGTCCTATCAATGTGTTCTTCTCTGCTGCAAGACAATTGGCTGTATGGACTGGCGTTCTTGTCAGGTATTATGAACAGCAGATGAATCTTATGCGTGTATGTGTTATTCTTGCGCATACTGGCCATGGAATTACTGTAATGGATTTAGTAAACTCATCGTTGCCATTATCATCGTCTGTTCTCAATGATTAGTAATTGTTGTTGTCATCATCGTTGTCATCGTTGTTGAGTCGTCGCCGTCCATATCTCTTTCTACCGTCTCTGTACTGGTGGAACTGAGAAAAACCACAAGGAGTTTTGGTTAGGATAGTTAGTAACCCAGCTGAGATTCGGTCCAGGTACCTCCCAAATAAAAGTCAGAAGTGTTGCCATTTGAGTCAAATTGCTTGCTTAATTCATGCATTGTTTCTTGGTCTATTTAAAAACTTTGTGAAAGTTAGTGTAGTGGTATGTAACAGTGAATGAGTAATGGTAGTATGATTGCGAAAGGTAAATGCTTTGACCAGCTTGGTATATATATATCAGCTTTTATTAATTAATGTGTATATGAAGGTGTTATAATCTCTTTTGCTCTCTTTTCTTGTTTCCCTTTCTTGTTGCCCCCACTTTGGAGCATAGGGTATCCGTAAAATGTTTTATTTCACTTCAGTTTCTTGATCCTAAGACAGTGGGTAGGACCCTTGGACTGGGGAACAGCCTGTCACAAGGCCACTGCCTACACAGGACAATGGAAACACAGAATAAAGGCACCCAGACATCCATGCCTTGAGTGGGAGTCAAACCCATAATCCCAGTGTTCAAGAGAATGAAGCCAGTTCATGCCTTAGACCATGCAGCCACTGTAACAGCCATTATAATCTCTTACCAGCATTTAGTTGATGATTTTTAGGAGATTTAAGTTCATAATAAATTTATCTGTTTATTTATGGTTTGTTTAAAGATGTTGTGAGTATTACAGACTAAAAATGTATGAAATGGTGGGATGATTGTGAACAATGAATTGGAAAGTATTTGAAGGAAACTGTTACCTGTTTTGAGGTACTATTTTGACTTTTGCCTGGAGGGACTGAAGAAGATCACGAAAACCTTTCAGAATGAGCAGTTTCCCGATGCTTTGCAGTATATTAAAGAACATTAGTGGAGGTGTTAGTACAGCTGGACAGACCATCTCAAAGTTTGGCTGCACCTAAATATGTGGAATATAAGAGTAGGATTTTGATTGCCAGATAACCTTGAGGACGGTGGCCATGTTTGAGAGATAAGAGAGATGGAGAAGCATAATTATATCCTCTTAGGTGTTCAGATAGCACTTTGTTCTTCGTTAATATTGAGATGGATGGTGGCTGATCCCATTCTTTTCTAGAAATCTTCTGCAGAATATTTAAATTTTCAAGGTGTTTCCAATATGTTTACTGTGATTTTTGTCAAAAATATATTTCAAAATAGGGATGGGCCGTGTGTTTTCACTGCATTAATTGTGCATCTGAGAAAATATACACTCATGGACCCAATGTGAATAAATATGCCAAAGGCAACACATTTTTTGCTGTAACCTGTTTCATGCTTCCTTCTGAGCACTTGTGGGTAGTTATCAAACAAAACTCTGTGTCTAGGCACTGAAATGTGACAGAGTACTTGATTTTGTCTGCATTTGTTTACATCTCCATTTAAGTCTTTGCTTCTTTGCTAATTCTTTCATTTATTCTAATACTGCATATTCATAATGAGTAAGAGGGTATAAAGTTAATGTTCTAGACTTGTATTTAACAAGTACTCAGTATCAGGTGTGACCTGATTGCCAAATATCCTAGACTGTATTTTCCTCATTTTCCTTGGGACCTCCAGGTGAAGGCTGGGAGAGTACTTTGCTTCTTCATGGTCATCTTCCTATCTCATTTGATGCTGTGTAATATTTGCAGTTGAAACAGCACTGTTGAATAACGTTGAGCCTTTCTTGTTAAGTTATCATCCCCAAATTGTAATGGTATCTTTGTGGGGTGTTATGCCACGTTTGAGTTCCAAGGATGTGCATAATTATAATATAGTAATTACATCTCAGAATGGTTAAGTAATTATTACAGAATGGAGCATACAACTGTAACAGATTATAATGAAATTATTGTCACTGTACAACTAGTTTTGGGCTGAACAACAGGTTTGATTCCCAGTAGGGCCAGTTACCAGGCTAGCTCTGAGGCTTCGGTACTTGTGTGTGATGGGTACTGTCTAGGGGTGAAGCAACTACAGTGAAGCTGATCACTATCTCCATCTGGTGTCTGAGACTAGAATGTGTGAAGCTATATCCTGTATGCCCTTTAGTATGGTGCTTGGAAATGGATCAACTTTGCCAGTATTTTTTTATTATTCATGTTGCTGTTTTTTGTTTGCTCTGTATTCATTGCTGTAATTATTCATAATGTAAGAATTTAAATGTGATACATTCAACTATTTTATATCTTATTATTTCCATATTTTGATATTGTAATTTTTCTTATGCAATGTTTGATCTGCAAATTACATTTTAGGATTGCTGATGACCATGTTAGCCTGTATGAGAGGAATAATGGGTAGTTAAATAAATTTGTAAGAGTGTTGTTTTCTGGAATGTGATACCAGGTAGTCTGGTAGAAGTTTCTTGACATTTCAGAAGAATATTGTCCTTGTACCATGAAGATGGAGGCAGTATGTTCCCTGAAATGTCAGTGAACTTCTGTGAGGCTGCATAATGTCACATCCCAGAAGGTAATACTGTTCATAGTTAACCACTTTGAGTAGCACAGATCTAATGAAATATTGCTGCTGGTCACTAATGTAGATAATATAGTTACAGTAATTATGAGAGTCATAATATTTAATATGTCTCTTCACTAATATTTCTTCTAAGCTTTATGCAACATTAAGCCTTTTATATGTGTAGCTACTAGGGAAGTCAATTTATGTTCAAAATTTGGTGTGTATTGAAAAGTAAATGCATTTCAGCTTTGGTGGGCTGTGTTTCCCAGCATATTCCGTGCATTCATAAAACATGTTGAAGACCCCTTACTGAGTTTCTGTAACAGTTCTTTTTTTAATTAATTTGCTTGTTTATTTAATCAGTATCTTCAGCATATAACATTTCTCTTTACCATTTTTTAAATCATTCAGTTTGATTTTATCGCTTTTTATTATGCATATTATACTTTTCTCTCGGGAGAAAATCTTTGGCATGTGGGTTTCAAAATTTTATGTTGGATGAAGCATTCTTGAAATAAATGCATAGTGAGATATGTAATAAGTTCTAATTACTGATTTATGCTTGTCTGCTAAAGTGTTTGTTTAGTGCTATGATTACAGAGAGATTATCTACCACATATCATTCTTTCAGACATAGAAAATGAAAAGAGATAGAGTAGTCAGAAGTTTGTTTGTTGGTGACATGAAATGGCACTCTCACAAATTGGTAAATAAATTGACATCCGTAATATTTTTATAATATAGTTTCCCACTAGTATTGTACTTACACTACCTTACTGTTGCTTTGCAGAACTGTCTTTCCATCTTGGTAAGTAACTGACATGTATATCCACTTGGAACTCTATGATATGTGTTTATTTTGACTTCTTAGCAACTGTAGTAACATACATTACAAATTTTTCAATTTATGCTTGGCAGTACTTAACTGTTGCAATTATACCATTTAAAATTTCATAGTGTTTATGAAGGACAGCTCTTTGTTTAGAAAAGCTTAATGTAACAAGAAAGCAGGCTTCTGGGCTATGGTGCCATGTAGATAGTGTGTTAACCGACGTTAACCGAATCCCTACCATTCATGATGCAGTGATGCAGTAATATTTTTCTTTGACATATAAAGGGCTTGAACATATAATTGAAAGAAAGAAACAGTGATGTATACATTGCACATAGGTAACACAGTGACCGCTACATCTTTAGTTTCCATGTAGTTATTCTTTACTCAACTAGTTTTGTGTAACTGGAAGTTCTGTGTTCTTTTAATTCAAGAATACAGTATTTTCTTTTCTTATATTCTGAAAAAATTCAAGATACAGATTTTACTATAGCATTAGATAGCATCATGTATGTATTTCATATGAACCAAGTTTTGTGAAAATATGCCAGTTAGTTTTGGAGATATATTTAATATTTTTCTACTACTGTTACACCTGCTGCTGCCATCACTGGCCCTCTCCCTGGCACCATTACTACCACTACCACTTCCAAGTAAAGAATGACCTGCATCCTGCAAGCTTGAGCAGTCTGTATCTTGAAAATGGCATTGGATTATTGGGCACAGTATTTGTGATTTTACATAGGTCATAGCAGCCTAAAAATAGACCAAATTATACTGAATGGAAAATTTTGCTGCCACCATCCATTTGTTGATATTGCGCGGAATGACTCTTGAAGTATTTATGGGATATTTTTTATTCTAGAATTAAACATGAAAGAGAATTAAGTAATGTATCATGGTTCAGTCATAAACATGTAGAGAGAATCCTTTTTGTCTGTATTGAAAACCTTAGAATTTGCATGATATGTATATATTATTATACTGAATTGCATGAATAATATTACAGCCTTTCTTACAGAAGTGAAATGTTTATGTGTTAATTGACTGTTGGAAACTGGTACTGTTGCATGGTTTTCATATATATACTAATGCATGTAAAAATACCTATGTTTTGATGTTTTCTGTGATGAACATTTGTTATGTAGTACTCTTAACAACTTATACTTGTATATTTCCCACAGTATGGTTTGTAGAAACCGTTAAGAAACATGTAAGATTTAAGGTTTTCATGATGGTGACTATGAAGAATGCTGTCTTCTGGGATGTGGCACCGTGTGGCTGTAGCCACCTGATCACGCTGGTTCCTCGCTTGTGGATTTTTCTACCCTGAAAATGGATGCGATATGTTCCTCCAAAATGTCGGCTTCAGGAAGTTTATATTATTATTGTATAAGCATCACCCTCTTTTTGGCCACTTAGATTGTATAATTAAACTCGCCTGAAGATTCATTAATTCAGAGGTGTGGTAGAAAATGGCTGTTTTATGCATCAGATAAAATCTCACCTCTGATTTTTTTTATTTTTATATGAAATTTTAATATCATTTCAGTATATGACAATTTGTGAAACATAAATGTGGAATATATGTCTTGACCTTGATAGTTTAGTTAGAATGGTGATGATTCGTCACGTGTTTGATGGCCAATGTTCATATCCCTGTATGGGTGTTGTGACCATGTTCTCTGTATGCTTCTGGCTTAGTGGTGGATAAAGGGAAAACGTCCTTTTACATGTATGGCAGACTGTTTATTGCAGAAATGTCTGATTAGGTTTTGTAGTACAGAATAATGAACCAAAACACATACAAGGAGTAGAGATATTGCGACATAAGGACTTTGAAATATATAGCTTAAAGCTAAAAAACATTAAAACAAAATACATTTGTGTTTTGTTATGCTCTGGCAGACATATATTTACAAATGTACATTCAAATGCATGCATGAAAATCATTTGTTACCACAGCTGGATATAAATAACAGATTTTTTTTCAAAGTTCTGTTCAAAATGTATTCTGATATGTGACAGTTTAAAGAAACCTAGATTATGAATACATATTGTACAATATCCTAACTGTACAACTTGTTTTACAGTAAAATTAAATTATAAAATGAGAAATGCATTCATGATTATGGTGAGGAAACCTCAAGGAAAAAGGTTATGTGGGAGACAGATTTAGATTGTGAAATTCTATCAGAATAGGTGTTGAAGGAGTTAGGAAGTGAAAGTGTGTACTTTGTTCAGCTAGTGGAAATTGTGATTCAGTGGCAGGCTTTTGTGATGAATGCAGTGAATTTTTACATTTCAGGAAGGCAGAAATTTCATAAATAATGGAATAGCATGGAAGTCCTCAAGGAGGGTCTAGTCCTGAGGAGTTGGTTAATAAAATGAATTAGAGTTCTGACCATGGTAGGCAGAACAGGAATGTAAACCTGTCTCTTTATTCAGCTTTAATTATGGATTTTATTACAACAGTTATTTCATTGGTTTGATGTTTACTGCAGTTCACAAGGCACATCGAGAGGAGCTGGAATGTGTTCTCCAAGTACTGGAAAAGGTGCTAGTGTATCTGCCAGAACTATTATCAAGAAGATGGCAATGTCACAGTCTCACTCGCATCATGACCAAACTGTTACATCCTGGAAACTCATGGAAGCTGCGGCGTGAGGCTATAAGGTGTNTTCAGTAGTTACGGAGTAACAGTAGATTTTCGAAATGCATCATTGTGAATGCAGCGCTATGCTTCAGCGTGGGCGACCATATGTTCCAGTCAGCTATGTCAGCAGATAAGGTAGACCGGTTTGAATGTTGCACGTAGGTAGATAGGCAGAGCGGTTCGTACGTGTGCGATGCATTGTGTTGACATGCAGGGAGACATTTGAAAATCTTATGTAAATCCAGTCGTCTTCTAAAGCACTACAGTTTAAAGGAAACAGATTGATAGAAGGGTGTGATATGCAACCACTGGTATGTTTACAGAATGGGATGCTGAAAATAATGTAATTTTGTAACACAAAATCGATGAAAAATGTTGTGCAATGCAAAATTAAGAAATTGAAAAGAAAAATTAGGTTTTAGAATGCTTCTTTCCTAAAACATTAACGATTTAAAAAGTGTTTGTATTGTATTTCTAATTTGTTTTGACTGAAATCCGAAGAAAAAAAGAGTTTTTGCCAGTTTTCAAATTACTGTATCACTTTAATTATGAGTTAGATACCATTAGTATATTAACATTTTTTGTTCCAAATTACCTCAGGAATGCCCTCCCTAAGTGGGGGTGAAACTTCATGAATCACTCTGTATTTGACTGTAGTGGATATGGCTGTTATCTTGACACCGTTCTGCTGTATCGTGTATTTCTTGAATACTTTGTTTTAATGTTGATTTGGACTCTTTTTTTTAGTTTAAGATTGTAAGCTGAGAAACTCAGAGAAACTTTAGTTAATTTCTTTCTTTAAAAATATTGAATTGATTGGAAATAAATTATTTTCCCTGGAGAATCCTGAGGTCTGCCAGAATTTCTGCAGTAATTAACCACTGCAACTGGATTTTCATTACATAACATTACATAGCATAGCATAACATATCCCACAGAAATGCAAAATTCATGAAATATATAACATTAAATTCTTAACAATATAGATCACATAAAAAATATTTAAAATAAAAGATCTGTAGATGTGCAGTTTGTCTCATGTACAATTTTTTTTATGATAGAATTTCAGAAAAGTAATAATGTTAATTGACTATATGTAGAGTAACTCATGTTATTGAATTCTTACAAACCAAAGTGAAATTTTGTCTGATATGTATGGTCTCCCCACCTTCATGTCTGATGGATGACAGCGATATGGCATGTGAAGGTGACTGCTCACATCCATCTAGTGTTGTGGTTAAGAACATGTGTAGTTATACTCCTTTTGTCTACATGATATGATGCTTAAGCCAGGAACAGTTTCATATGCTGCTTTTAGTTTAGATCTTCAGTGAAAAATTCATCAAAATCCATTGAGTTGTTTTAGAGGTGAATCATCTGGATTTGTGGTTGTGTGAACAGATGACTTGGCCTTTCTGTAGTCCATACATTTTTGCACTTCTTGCTAAACTTGATTAAGAAGCTTAAGAATTGTTGCTGTGTGCCATTTGTTTCCTGGATAACATTTATTCACGGTTCTCTCCCTTAAAGTCTTCAGAGACTATGTGGAGATTATAATATGACAAGAAAACAAAGCTCTAGTTCTTGCAGTAACCGCCATGCACAGTGGCTTTGTTAACAGGGACTGAGTGATTGATGCTGTAATTTGAAATTCTGCCAAAAACTTCAAACGAGAATATGCGAGGTACTAATAATAAGGTAAAGGTAAAGTTTCCCCTGTGCTTAACTAATTAAGCACTGTGCTGTGAAGGTGTATAGGGAGTGGATATATAGATCCATGTTTTCTTGACCTCGGCACTTGGAGGTGAATGGTCAGCTTCACATCCCAGCCAATTTACTCCTGGGGAAAGAGCCCCCAGTACCCATTGGATAGGAGGCTGGGTGGGCCCTGGATGACCTGGAGAAGAGAAAATTCCTGACCTTATGTGGACTCGTACTCTGACCCCTCGATTGTCCAGCCTGTAGCCACTCATTATAATAAAAATGATTAAAAGATGTAATATGCTTAAAATTTGCCATCTTCTTGTAATAAAGCTTTATATATTACTGGATATAATGTAGTACAGCAAAAGTCATGAAAATTCTGAAGACCTACATTTGAGCTTCCTTTTAATGTTCCTTGATTTAAGGTGTTCTCCTTTCTTAACCTTCAGTTTCAATAAGCCCAAGTAGATAATCGCAGTGTTAAATCTTCTCTGTTTAACATTTTGCTCAGTTAATGTTCAAACCTATTTCCCTTCGTAGAAACCTGTGTATAAATATACTTTGTTTATCTTGATTGAATCTAAGATTTATTTTTTATGGAGGTCAATGTTAGAGAAAGGTAATTATATGGAGGTATGTCCACTTTCATTGCACTGGACTTTTTTAATACTCAAAATTAATACATTTCTCTTTGCAGATATTTTCTTCTGTGGTATCAGTCATTGGCTGACAATTCTCCTGAAGCTCTTCATGCCATTTTTGCAACACTAGTTCCAGGTTTCCCCTCACCTTTTGCTGGGCAGGGACTTTCTGCTCTGAACAGGAGTTCAACATCAGTGTTTCATGATATTTCACGTGGTGAGTTTTGTGTTGTTCTGCTTGTGCTTTTCTTGTGGGATACACTGTCATGATAGAGCTAATTTGAAGTTCACCATATAATTGCATTACTTTTGTGTAGGTGGAAAACTCACATTCTTCACTGAACAGGAGTTTATACAGTGTGTCCAGGTCCTGTTAGGCCTGTGTTCATTAAAATACAAGACATCAATTATTTTCAAAATTTCACTCTTTTTATTCAAAATAGTCTCCTTCTGAATCAATACATAGCTGGAATCAATTGAAAAGTTTTCGAAAACAGTCACTGTACTCCTTTTGTGGAATTGCATTTAAAACTGCGGTAGATTCCCTTTGGATGTCCTGGATGGTGGTGTGACGGCCCCCTTTCATCGCCAACTTAACTTTTGCGAACAACCAAAAATCTGCTGGAGCCAAATCTGGCAAATACAGATTATGATCAAGGACTGTGATCCCTTTTCTGGCCAAAAAATCGCGCACCATCTTCAATTTGTGGGGTGGGGCATTGTCGTGGAGGAGTAACCAGGAACGTTGCTGTTGATATTCAGGTTGAATCTGAAGAATTCTCACTGAAACACAATTGAGGGCTCCAAGATAATAATCAGAATTCACTGTTTCACCTTCTGGCAGAAATTCCTTGTGAATGATTCCTTTGGAATCGAAGAAAACGGTTAGCACTGTCTTTACTCGACTCTTTTGCATGCGCACTTTCTTTGGTTCTTGCTTCTTTGGGCTCAACCACGCTTTACCCTGCTGCTTTATGAGAGGCTCATATTGAAAACACCATGTGTCATCACCAGTATCAATCAGTTTTGTAAATTTTATATCAATTTGGGCCAACCATAACATGTCTTTGCAGTGTTCCACTCTGTCATGTTTTTCATTGCCTGACAGCACATACAGTACAAACCACGCACAGACCTTTTGTTTGCCCAAATCCCCAGTCAGAATTTGATGCACAGTACTTTTTGGTATTCCCAAAAGTTCCTCGATGAGTCTTGCAGAAACATGTGTCTGATGCAAGGATTTCGTTCCCTTTTTTCACATTTTCTTCAGTGCTACTTGTTCTCGGCTTTGATGCACGTGGAGCGTCTTCGGTGTCCTCCTTGCTGTCACGAAATACAGCATACCATCAGAAAATGTTTGAGCGACTCAAATAATCACTACCATACACACTTTTCATCATTTTGTATGCTTCTCTTGCTAATTTGCCCAGCTTCAAACAAAATATGATGTTGGCTCTCTGTTCAACCGCCATTTTCTGATGAGCATCAGAACAGTACTGTTACATTCAAGGTCAGAACACATGATGCAGCACTGCTTGCACTTTGAAATTATAGACAGCCTCAGCCGAAACTTCAAGAATTTTAATGCTGAAACTCGCCAACAGATGGCATTGCAGGGCAAAATTTAAAAGAATGAGTCCTAATGGATCCTGGACGCACTGTGTATGTTTTGTATATAATGATACCTGATATGGTTCTGTATATACTGCAGCTTTTGGGCTGCAGTAGTTCTGTAGTCTGTTGTTACTAGTTGCATTATTTCTAGGTAAGTGAAAGTGACAAAATTGGAAACTATTTGTCACGTGTGTCTGACATTTCAGAAACTATTTCTGATGGATTTGATGTGAAAAGGATTGTAATTTCATGCTATATATATATACACATACACACACACACACGAGGGGGAACCAAAAAATAACCGGAAACGACCTATTGAACACGCATGCTTTGTAGTTACGAGTTGTGCTGCTAGGTGATGTTAGCTGGGGGTCTCCCGCGACTGTTAGTGAGCTGGCGTCAGTCTGAGTTAAGTGGTGGTTAAGTGGTCTGTGGTGCTCTGTTGTGTGCGGTCCTGTTTCAACCCTTTGGCGATTAGTGATTATTGTTTTTTCTGCCAGATTAAACTAAAGGAAGGGCAGATAAGCAGTATATCTATTTAACTGTAAAGTTATTTAGCTTTAATGTTAAATGACCAGCTTGCAGTGGATCTTTTAATTTTGGGGTGAAGGGAAATATAGTGCCACCAAGCAAGCAGTTTGAAATTTTGACCTGTATTGTGGATGCAGGTCCAGTGAATGCTGTAGAGATACAACCTCTGCTACCACCCCAAAGTGGAGAGAAGCAACCAGATGATCCAATGAGATATTTTCTTGATGCTTTGCTAGAGTTTATTGTTTCCCAGGTAAGTACAAACAAAAAAAAATTGTGTTTATCAAGGTCAAACTATATAAGTTTATACCTCTGAAACAAAAGTTACTGAAAGTCAGTCAGCATAGTTTCATACACTGTCATAAAATCTTAGACTACTGTGAGAATATCAGATCTCATGTGCTGAAAATAAGTTTTGCATGGAACTTCTTAAATTTGTGAAGTAGGACACCTTTATGTATGTATGTACGTATGTATGTTAGTGATTTGGGGGTGGGGGGAAGCATGAGCTTGGTTGGTTGGATCTAAGAGGGTTCACTCTGTGATAATATGGCTAGCTTGTGCTAATTGAGATCCCACTAATGCAACAAAATTAAGTGAAATAATAATTAGTCAGATATTTTTGGTGGCTTGCTGCTTTAGAAAATTATTGAATCATGTTACAGTATATGGGAAGGGCTATTGGTATGTGTTTTAGGATGTAAGTGGGTGAAATATTATTATGGAAAGAGCCATCCAGGATGCATAATGTTTAAAAGTAATCTTTGAACTTAAGACCAGGTCTTGCCAGATGGTTGCCTGAGTTGGGTAAAAGTCTGAAAATACTGGTGTTTGTTGACCTCTATGGAAAAATACAAATTACCCCTTGTGTTTTGTTTTGCAGGTAACAAAGATAGAGTGGCGTGACAGGCTGTGTAAGCAACACAAGTGCTTCGTGTTTCTGTTTGAAAGATTCAAACAGTATTATCTGCCTCATATCTTTCCCCAGTTTTCATTTGCCACGAGCCTCTACAAGCCAGTATTAGGTATGCTCTTTACTCTGTATACATATCAGAAATTTAAAGAGAACCGCATTATGAATTTTGAGGTTTCCACAGTGATGATTGTTCAGATTGTGGTCCTTTGGGTTCTGACCACATTTTGTGTGAGCAGCAAGGACATCTAGAAGAAGAGGAAGAAAAAGTTAAACTAAGGTCAGTACAGTCCAAAATCATCAAAGGGGTAGAATCTGTGAAAATTATATAACAAGGTGTACGTCTGTCAAGAATAGAATTATTATGTATAGTAACAAGGGAAAAGAATTATAGAAGCTAAGGGAGAAGAAAGGACAGAAACAAACTACATATGACTGGCTGAAGAAATACTAAGGTTTCATCATTAATCACCTTATGCTCAGTTTGCTCTTCATATTGTTGCATCTGAAAAGAGTGACAGTATTCCTAATGAAAAAGTAATCCTTTAAAATATGGTGTTAATTAACTATATATACGAGGTGTGTTCAAAAAATGACGGGAATTTCCGTATTTTGGAAAAAATATTTATTCATTCGTCTACATTAATGTTGTCGCCTTCAAAATAGTCCCCATTCGATATTATGCACTTACGCCAGCGCTTCTTCCAATCATCGAAACACTTCTCAAACTCGATTTTTGGGATAGCCTTTAGCTCTTTCAGCGATGCGCTTTTAATGTCATCTATGCTTGTAAAACGACGGCCCTTTAAGGTTCTCTTTATTTTTGGAAATAGGAAAAAGTCACACGGAGCCATGTCTGGCGAATATGGAGGCTGGGGCATCGTTACAGTATTGTTTTTGGCCAAGAATTCACGAACAAGCAACGAAGTGTGAGCAGGTGCATTATCGTGGTGCAAAAGCCATGAATTGTTTTTCCACAAATCCGGGCGTTTTTTTCGGATTGCCTCACGCAAACTTCTCTGATTGTGATTCGGCGATCATTCATAATCATTGCTTTCACTTTTTCCACGTTTTCATCGGTTGTTGATGTGCTGGGGCGTCCGGGGCGCTCGTCATCTGCAACGTCTTCACGGCCATCTTGGAAACGCTTATACCACTCGTAAACTCTTGTTTTACTCATAACAGACTCACCATAGGCCTTTGTTAACATTTCACACACTTTGTAACACTTTATTTCATTTTTTACGCAAAATTTGATACAAATTCTTTGATCCATTTCTTTTAACAAACGAAAATCGCCAAGCTCATAAAAACACGTCTAACCTTAGCGGCTGCCACAGACAAAGTAAGCAATGAATACAGCTGAAAATTTTATTGTACTTCAGGGGCATGTATACCAACATAATAAAAAAAATTTTTGACAATTGGACTCTCCAAACCCGCGAAATTTTAAAATTCCCGTTATTTCCTGAACACACCTCGTACTATTTGATTTAATGTTCAGGAACTTTGCATTTTGCCCACAGAGTGTATTTATGTGTTTTTACGTATTTCTGACAGCAGAAACTACAGTGAAGTCCAAACCTAAGTGACCTGCAGTTTAATGGGGCTTGGAGCATGGCTTTTCCTGGCCTGAGCGAATGCTGTAGCAGAGAGCATTCTACAAACCGTACTGGCACAGGCACAACTTCTATATTAATGTTACAATAACATTTTGCCCTTCTCACCTGATGTTTTGAAGAAACTGCTGAAAATAGTGTCCATTTGCACCAGTGTAAGAAATTTTTGGACCGTCACTGCAAGTCACCTTCTGTAATATTGCTTATTACACTCCTAATTCCATTCTGGAGGGCCTCTAGAGGATGTGGATTGTTCCTTTTACACTTTTTACTTCAAGTTTCCCTACACATAAAACTTTCACACACTCGTATCTGATGAATGAGGTGGCTATAGTTCCTAATTAATTATCTTTTTACCAAAAATTTCATGAAAAGTCTCCATAAAATGTGCAGTATCACATATTACTTCTCTTCTTCATTTAGTATTTGAAAGAATAATTCCAAAATATTGTTCATGTAATACTCTTGAGTTTTCCATATATGAAAAGAACATGGGCCCAATTGTTCTCCGACCATGAACTACGCACCACACATCCATGTTTTGGCTGTGAGGTGGGGCTTCTTGTATTGTGTGGGGATTATAAGTATCACAATGACAGGTACTCTGGTCGGGCATTCACAAAACCACCAGTATGAAACCAAGCTTTGTGGTGGATTGATAGTTTTATCATGGACAGATGGCAACATCCAATGAAAAATGTTTATGCTCACAATTGGATCTGCATAAATTAACTTCTGGACCACTGACACTTTGTAAGGATGAAACATAAGAGCTTTGAGACCTCTTATAATGGAACTTTTCAGTGTGCCAGACTCTTGTCTTATCCAATATGATGATATTCTTCGACTCATTTCTGTTGTAACTCAAATGTTCTGGACTGTGAGAGGACACTGTGGACTTAATTTATTTTTATCAAGAAGATAACTGTCTTTCACCTTTGCTGAACAGTTTCAGAACACAATAATTTGGTGGTTGCATAGCCTCTGTATATTGCTATCAAAACTTACATACACATGGCTTATAGGACTTCTTCAGAAGCAATGTTGCTACAAGAAATATGCATTGTTCCATTGTGTACTTAACTATCCTTAAATCATGTCATTCCCTATGAGAAATAGCTTTCAATAAGCAGACCTGTTTGCAGTGTGTGCTCAAAACAAGTCTTTATCATGACAGCATGACTCATGATAAAAACATCACCTGCGCTCATGTTCAAAGTTCCATACATCACTCCCTGGCTAATTTATTGGCCCTGGCCAGGAAAAGCTGCACTCTGGTTCCTATTAAACTACAGGTCACTTAGGCTTGGACTTCATTGTATATCTGTATACAGCATTATGCAGTTGGTTTTTGTAATGGAAATGCATTGTGTGTTCTGTGTGATAAAAATTGAAATTTTAGAGATTATTTAGACAAATTTGTCTTGAAATCCTGCTTTTAATTGCTTTTATGATACCTACTTAAATCTTATAATAAAATTTGGAATTCAGAAGTAAGTGCATAACAGCTGCGAACTGATGAAGAAGGTATTTATCACAAAGAAGTTTACTCTAATACTGGTATGTACCAAGTTCCTCTCTTTGTAGTTCTGTGGTATTATGAAATATCTTAAATAACACATACTATAATGTTTATTGTTATTTCAAGCCGTTAAAGCCCCACCAATAACCTTCACACCAGTTGCTTTTGTCCACTACTGTTTCACCTTAAGCCACTGCAGTATCCGCTCCTATCTTCCGCACTCAACTAGCTTAAAATTCACTGCACTGTCTGGTTCATGTGTGTTTCTTCACTCATTTCTGCATTCATCTGCCTCTAAGCTCAGACTGTTCTACTCGAGTCCAGCAGCCATTCTTTTACTTATGCATGCAATATTCCTAGAATGGAGGCTCCTCACATTTGTTAAGAAGTCTCAAAGAAGAGAGGGAGGGTTTCAATGTGTCAAGGAAGAGAAGTGTGCGCATACTTACCCCCTTCTGTTCTGATCTTACAGGGCAATATGTTTTTGTTATTAAAGAGAAATGTAGAACATTTTCTACATTTCAAAACTATTTCCTCAATTTGACACCTGTTTTAGGAAATCTGTTGCAAAATGTGAAATAACAGGTTTCACTGAAGTTTTTCTTCACAGGCTTTGGGGTGTAATGGTACAATGTGGCCTGAAAGCCTTTGGTGTCCATGGATGTATCTCATTTGCTTTTGTTCCACTCATTGTTTTATGATGAAATGAAGTTTTTAAAAATTAATTATTCTCAGTTTAAAGGTCTTGTAGTTATTTGTATACTAAGAAACATAATACCATAATTGAAGTAGTTATGAAGGAAGTTGGAACTTCACAAGGAAAATGTTATGTTCAGTAGCTATAGTGTTTTAATTTGAGAGGAAGTTGAGAAGGTTTTTGCCTGGGTTCCACTTTGACCTCCTTAAGATATCCTTTCTGCTGTTACCTTCTTTGGTAAGTAGGAGACTGCAATATAGGATACATATAGAAAACTTCTTATTTCGAATTGAAGGTTTTTGCCTGGGTTCCACTTTGACCTCCTTAAGATATCCTTTCTGCTGTTACCTTCTTTGGTAAGTAGGAGACCTGCAATAAGGATACATATAGAAAACTTCTTATTTCGAATTGAAGAAGATTGTTTCTGCTCCCTAGATCTCCCAGTGCTGAGGAAAGGTTCTCCTGGACTTAGTGATACCCCTGAGGGTCGAAGACGACAGGACCCATTTGTTGTCTGCCGAGTAGTAGTTATTAAATGGGTTGCCACCTTCACTCACATTACAAAGAAAGGGGAAGTACCATTTATGCATACACAATCAAATAGGTATGTAACAAACAACTGGATTTCAGTTCAGTCTATCTTTTTATGGTTGAAATCTATCTTCAGAAAAAGCAAACTGGATACAGTGGAGAAATAATTATTTCCGTTGTGTTCACTATTGAGATAAAGCCAGTGAAACAGATATGAATAAAATCGTTTAGCAGATGACTTCTCTGTAATTGTTCATTGCTTTAGAAGTGTGACGGACTATAACTTTGGCCACTGATCTTTATCTTTCATGTGCTGTCAAATATATGCATACTCCAAATTCTATTGGTTCTTCTAGCGATTTTTATAGTGGTTTCCCTGTCTTTATTTAGGTTAGTTTAAGGTGCCGTGTTATTCTTAACTTAGCATCAGATATGAGCATGGACAAACCAGTGCTCTTAGACCTTGGTTTAGTGGGAGACAAATTTTTCCACAGATTGGTTGGGGGGCACAATTAAGAGAGCTTTGATGATGGTACTGTCAGAGTTATCCATAAGAAGAAATGAATGCAGTCTTGAAATGGTGGAATGTGACCTAATCTTATGTATACAGTAGATTAAGTTGGTGTTTGTTCTGTCATTGTTTTAACCCTTTGCACACCATCCACCANACTAAATTGGCAGAGGATAATGTATTAAGACTGGTGCAGTCAAAGCAATACCAACTAAATTGGCTCAGGATAATGTATTAAAACTGTCAGAGTTAGAGAGATCTTTTTTTTTTCCGCTAATCAGTTATTTCAATGCTTTTAACAGTAGGTGGCATCAAGTGTGATATACTTATGTCTAGAGGAAGGAATGTGCTTGTTTGAAAGTCATTATGGAGGGTATTGTGGTTTTTCCAGTGCAGCTGTATTTACACCATGCATCTTTGGCATTTCTAGCAGGTAGCTTTACTGCAGGGCTTTGTAGCCAAAGGTTTGATCAGTTATGTTTTTCTTATCATATTTTCCTTTCCCTAAAAAGTAGACTGTATGATCACCATATTTTCTCTTTGTTCCCCTCCTCCTCTTAACTTTTGAATTAATGACCAAACCTCTCTCTTCTCCCAACTTCATACTTTTTAGTTTCTCACATTCAGTAATAGCAACATGGTAGATGCACAAACTTGTGTTGTGGGAGCAATGTTACTGCCACTTACTTAGGGTTGTGTAATATTGTATGGTAATAGGTCTTTGAAAAATGTGCAAGTTTTTGTTAAGGTAATTTTTTTTTGTAGGCTGTGCAAGGTGTATCAGAAAGTTCCCAGACCAGGCTACAAAAGAAATGCTGGTTTAACTTGCCAAATTTTGGCTGCCATCTTCTTCAAAATAGTCACCTTGGGAATGGATACAGTGATACCATAGTTCTCTCCATGCTTCAAAACCACTCTGAAAGTCATTTTCCTTAATGCTGTTGAGTGCCGCTTACAATTCCATTTGGACGTCAGACACTGTTTCAAAACATAGTCTCTTCAGTTTAATTTTCAATTTGGGAAACAAAGCAAAATCACAAGGGTCTAAGTCCAACAAATAGGGGAGGATGGGTAAGCATAACCATGTTGTTGTTAGTCACAAACTCTGTGGTTTTCAAGGACATGTGGGCGGGCACATTGTCATGGTGAAAGAGCCAGTTGTGGTTCTGCCAAAGTTCCGGTCTTTTTTGTCTCTCATGCACTTCAAAACATCACAGTGAAAGTCAGAGTTGACTGTAGTGTTAGGAGAAACAAATTCACGGTGAATAATCTCGTTCATGTCTAAGAAAACAATGAGAATGCTCTGTGTTGAACTTCAGACCTGCTGCACCTTTTTTGCTCCTGGCGATTTTGGGCTCTTCCACTGCAACGATCGTTACTTTGTTTCTGGATCATAACCGTAAATCAAACTTTTGTTACCCGTTATGATCCTAGAGATACTCGTAAAATTTGCGTCCTCGTTAGCCTTCTCACGTGGCTGAAGACACGTTTACATGCCATTGCTTTTGATCATCTGTGAAGAATTGGGAAACACATTTTGTGGCAGTGCAGCACATATTCAAATTTTATGTTAAGATCTCCTGGCAAACTCCATAACTGCTCCCATCGGTGTCTTCAGAATCATGGATTATTTGGCTATGGTCTTCATGCATGGATGAATTCTCAAATTTTTAAAAATTTTCTGTTGTTTTGCTGGTTCTTGGCTGCCCAGAATGTTTGTCATCTTCATCTGACACTCAACCGGCTTTGAAACGTGAATGGCATTCAGAAACTGCTGTGCGGCTTAAAGAATGTTCTCCAAGAGCCTCATGAATCATATCAAGGGTTTTGGTAGTGGATTGACTGAGCTTCACCCAGAACTTGATGCAGACATGTTGCTTGATTTTGCCATCCATCACAGACAAAATGAAACATTAATTCGAAAAAGCACTCATGTCTGAGATAAACAGTGCATATTCACAGCACAGCGTCACGTGGCAGACTTACGCAGTAGGCTCGTGGAAGTGTGACCTTGTCCTCCCTTTTCATCTTCTTTCACTGAGGCAGTTACAGAAATAAGAATCCGGGAACTTTCCGAGAGAACCTCATAAAACAACAGAATGATGGTTACATGAAAGCTTTTGGATTGATGGCAGTTATTGAGGAACGATTAGAGCTCAGCATATGAAATTTAATATGAAGACATCATAACAATACTTATGGATCTTGTATGAAACATTGTTTATAAGTCAATTATTGCAAAAGTGGTAATGCTGTAAAACACTGAGATTGTTGCTGACGGATGTAACATAGACAGAACCTGTGATATATTTACAGTTGCAAGCAGTACAAAATTCTGACTTCAATAGAATTCAGTTGTGTGAATCCAGCTTGCTAACCTGTGGGCTGAATTGAATGTCCAACTGACAATATCTGAGTGTGAACACAAGATTTATGGGACTGTAAATTGTGTAACAGAGTAAGTAGGGTATATAAGTCCTTCATAGAACTCCATGTCTCTAATCCATCTGACTCTCATAATATTTCAGTAGTGTAACTCCTAGTGAAGACACGGATCATTCCCCTGGTACAGAATTGCGTCGTGTAAGTGTCAGCCAAGCTGGGTCCAATCATGATGCGGCCTCACCTGCATCAGATTCAAATCATTCCTCCGTATTCTCACAGTCAGAAGGTGGAAACCATTCCCTTAGGTGAGGAGCTGTTACAGCCATACCTTTATATTTTGTAATCTTGTGCTGTTTGATCTCATAGGGGTTGATCCTGAGATGAGTTTTATCATCACTACCATTGCCATAAGTAATCATCATGTTATTATCATGTGTTTAATTTGTTAGTTATGAGACATGCATTCAGATTTGTGTCAAGTATCTACATAGTTAAAGTTGGCAGTCAGTCTCCTGTGTTGGATTATGTTCTTATATAACTTGCTGGATTAATGTGGGAAATTGTCAGTTCCAGTTGCTTGCATTTGTTCTGAGTGTAGCAATTTGGGTTTTTTTTTTTGGTGACACTGTCTGTGTTTGATTACATGACATCAAGTGGTAGGGTGATTTATGAATAATTAATTTGAAATATCCTGAAGAAACAAGTGTGGCCTGATCAAGGCATCATCCAAGTATTTTCCTGGAGGGACTGAGGAAGACTGTAAACATCTTGAATTAGGATACTGAGCATTGTGCCTGGAATTTGAGCCAAATACAAGTCAAGAGCACAGCTGGTCTGGTCTTATGACGTATGGACAGTCAGCCAGATCTGATACTTTCCCCCTCCCATTGGTTTTTGAAGGTGAAAAATAGCATTTTCCCCAAAATCGATAGGTAAGTTTCGAGCTTAATTAGACCTAGAGGAAGTGAGTTGAGTGAAACCTTATAATGATATGATTTATAGTCCATATCATGAGGAACAAATTGGTTTCTTATTGGTGTCTCTAGCTTCAATAGTTATCGAGATATGGGAGATAACGCAAACCTCCATTTCAGGCGAAAACGCGTTTTTTCGCATTATAAAAACTTCGCTATTAGTTGAATATCAAAGTTGTAATTTTAACTCCATGTTACTCTGGAATAGAGCATTATTTGCTCTGAGTTAAAAATTTTTCAGAGCTTCCCCACCGGAGATATGAGATGTTAAAAATGGCCGATTTTGGGCCCAGAGCAAAGTTTGGAAGCTCCTGGAAAATTTTGGAAAATAGGTACGGTGTTCAAAACTATGTGATTATATTCTTCATGTAGGAGAAAACAAAGGGTAGAAACCACAGATCTGATACTTTCCCCCTCCCATTGGTTTCTGAAGGTGAAAAATAGCGTTTTTCCCAAAATCGATAGGTAAGTTTCAAACTTCATTACACCTAGAGGAAATGAATTGAGTGAAACCTTATAATGATACGCGTTTTTTCGCATTATAAAAATGGCTGTACCGGGAGAACTGAGCTGATTACAATTTTTTTAAAAATATTTTTGAGGTGTGAAAATATGTGGAAATAAGTGTACAAATTTTGATTTTTTTTAAATGGTGAGTGACCTCTCTGGATGACTTCACGTGGAATGACCCCTCCTGTATCTGACAAATGCAAAAAATCTGATCAGTAGTTGATCTGTTACATCAGAACCCAAATTGATGATCCTTAATAATTTCATCTGCTTGTGACTTAACTATAAGAGAAGGATATTGTATAAGTTTTTAAATGAAGTTGGTAACAGTGATATTCCTTGATAATTTATACAGTCAGATTTATCCCCCCTTTTGTAAATTAGTGCAGTAGTTTACTCCTTCCTCTGCTCAGGTAGTTCTTCCATACTCCAAATAAAATTAATGCGTTTATGGATCATAGTAATGTTTCACCTCCTGCTTGAATCAGTTCTGCTGGAATTTGGTCCCTACCTCAAAATGTATACTGTTTCAAATTTGCAATAGCAGACTCAACCTCAACAGGAGTAGACTCAAGTGCTAATAGCTCAGCTGTATGTTTTTTTCTATCTGCCTAACACCACTGACCATGTGTACATTCAGTAACAGAGATATATTGTGTTCACAAAGTCTCGTTGGGGTTTTGAAAAATTGTGGCCCGCAAAGAAATTGAGCTAACCACATGTGGTTTGCGGCAGATCATAGTGAAACTCTGGAAGTTTTTTTTTTTACTGACCTCAGTAGACCTCGATGTGTGCTCCCTTGGTAGCAGGGAGATCGTCCAGATGATATGCGAGCTCTTGCCATGTTCTGTGTAGCATGCCCGCCGGATTAGCTGAGATCACATTCCTGAGACAGGTCTTCAGGTCATCAGGCCCATTAACTGGTGTTTGGAACACACTGCTCTTGACATGACCCCACATGAAAAGATCCGCTTTCTTAGACAGGGCATTTCCATGATGATGGGTCAGCAGAGACGGTCCAGTGCCTTAGCCTCCACATTCACCAGACATTATACCACTGAATTTTTTCCTGCGGGGTTATGTCAAGAGCAGTATGAAATGTACAATATAGTCTTAATTATGATGGGTCATTGCAATTATCTGACCAGCCATTTGTTCACAACCTTGATTACTATTCAGGAATTCAAATCTACTGTCACTTGATTGGACTCAGAATAATGATACTTTACTCTATTAGTACATTAAATTATGTAATTATTATAAGAGACATCCTGAGTCATCACACTTTTTAACAGTGATGGCCAATAGTGACCAAAATGTAAAATCACTACTTGCTGAAACATGTAAAGAAAGGGTTTGCTTTGTGTTGAATTGTTTTACATGATGGGCCTCGGTACACATTCAGCATTATATGAGAAGTGAAAATACATGATTGCCTCAAAATTAAAGGATACAGATTAAGTGACTGAGGAGATTAGCACTTACATGCAGTGTGTTATCATAATTGAAAGTTATTTTCCTGTAATTGTATTTCAGTGAGGATCCAAATGCAGCTGCAATGCATTTAGTCTGTGAAGTCCTTTACAGTAGTCGTGAAAACGTCAACTTCGTACATGAGGTATATCGGCAGGCATTCCTTCTTAATTTCACGCATTCCCCTGCCATCAGGAAAGCCATTGCTGTGTACAAGGACTGGATTCAGATGAACGTAAGTCATGGAAATGTAAGAAAAGTTGAAGTATATTTAAATGAGCTCGTGCAGAGTGTCTAGTAATAGAACCTTAATGTTCAACACCACCCACACCAGAGCTCACTAATGAACGTGAGTCTGAGCCAATTCAGTTGTGTTTCCATGAGACTACACTGTGCTTTTACAAGCATTTACCTGTTGTGTTGCCCCTGATCCAGATACAGTTTCAGTGCTGTAACTCTGAAATAGTGGTGAATTCAGCAACTCTTTTTTTACTCTTTTTTTCCAAATTGTCTCCTCACCAGTCTCCTGTAGTTTGGTCGTAAGATTTTGAATATTCTTTATAAATCTCTAACCTCAAATTTTGAAACGTAAGCATTCATTTGTATTGATTTCTTATTTTGAACATATATGAGACATGCTCAAGTGAAACACATTTGGAGATTATATTGGGTGAAGGAGTAGAGGCCATTAAAGGTAGTCTTTATGGCTGATGAGTGAGACACCCCTTTCACACACCAACCAATGGATATTCACTACAAAGAACTCCCTGACCTGTTTGCTGGAACTACTATACTGCAGCAGCCTTGATGTCTTTGTCCCACCTGAATCCACAGCACTCCTGAGGGGTCAGAATACAGGTAGAAGGAAGTCTCACAGTGACTGGTCCAGGCTGTATGGGCACTGGTTCCAGCATTTTCCAGTGCTTCAAATATTCTCTCAGGTCAGCTTCTTGGAATCTTGGATTCCTTTGACTGTTGATGGTAGGAGATTTTTAACTAGGATATAGGCTTATTTACACATGCTCATGTGAATTTAAAATATTGTTATTCATTCCCAGAATGTGTTAATTTTGGAGGTTTTGTGCTGAAGTTTCTCCCACTTGTGCATTTACCTGTGGAACTTACTATGTTTGTTGTGTGTTCAGGTTCCTGAACTGCCGTCCTTTATGCTGGAGCCTCTGGAAAGTCACAAAGAAGATATCTACAGAAGTGGTCCACCTTCCTATGAATACTCGTCCATGGAAGTACTGTTATTTTCTAATCTAAATAACAATTTCAGTAATGTTAAAACTGATATAAACTCTTCTTTGCTGTCTTCATAGAAAAATACTGTAAAGTATTTACTGGCATTGTCTGGTCGTAGAACTTCTATTCAAGACTGCCAGCACAACTGTGTACTATGTAACATGTTTTGAACATACTATTGGATCATCCTCAGGTGGTATAAAGTTAAGGGTAAAGCTCTCCCTGTGACAGGCCATGGTGAGGCTTCCACATTTTCTAGATAGTGGGTTCACAAATGGCAGTGAGGTTGTCAGCCTTATGTGTCAGCTGCCCTTTACCCCAGGAATGTTCCTGGTACTCATTTCTGTTAGAGGCTCAGTCGACCTCAGGGCTACAGTGCGGCTGGAAGGATTAGGTCAGATGGAAAACCCAATCATGCCTGTCTTACGTATCTTATGCTACAATGGCAGCTTATTCACTTGAACAGATGTAAGCTCGACTATTGCCTCTTAATAGTTTCTGTGTATGGCTTCACCTTGTCCTATCCTGCGAACATGTTCATTCTCATAATTTTGTATGACTTCTGCTTGTTGCCTACACAATTTTATAATATAATCGTATTGAAGATTGAAAGCTGTGTGAAAATCGCAGCTGTTCCTCCAGTGTTGCAACACATGTTTGTTGTCATGGAAATGTGTTTATTTAGCTGTTGCCTTGCAGTGGATGAGGTATTATTGTGTGCCTATCCTGCCATTGCCTAGCAAATTCTGTCTCTTTCAGTCGTGCTATCACAGTATATTTTGTGATGTAACTCAAATATTTGAAAGTTATTTGCCTCCTCTGCTTTGTACCTTAACTTTTCACTGCTGAGTAAATGAAGCCTAGCATGACCCCTTGTGCTGAAATATTGTTATAATGCTCCTTTATGAAAGTAAAACGAAATCAAGTAGAGATTTCATTAGTGCATGCATACTGGAGATGATTTTGGTAGATCAAGATGTATTTTTACTATCTCTCAGATGGCCAGGGTCAGGTGACATGGAGTAGGAAATAGCAGCTGCTAATTTCAGTAATTTTCTGAATTCTACTTTACAGGTGGCTTACAGACACAGCAAGAGGTCTACCTTGTAGTTCATTATATTCATGATAGGTGGAAGTATAAGCCTAACCAGTTTCAACACATTCATGTAGTTAGTTTGGATGATATGTGTTTATGAGGAGTGCACCCATATTGTAACAGATTTGATCAGCACATTGCCAGGCCACAGCTCTGTAAACATGGTCCAACATGCAACAATAGAGGAAGCTGTCTTTTCTGTAAATCTGACCGATGTGCCAATAGACTGGCCGGATAACAACCATGTGATATGTGTTAATTGTAGGTGCATGTCAATTCTGTGGCTATATAAGTAAGTGACAGAATTCATTCAGGGCAGTTATGAGTTATGAGTAGTAGTGGTGGCAGAAGCACACAAACAAGCAAGCCTGTTCTCAACAGGAGATAGCCATGGGAAGTTCGTAGTGGAACAAGAATTAGAAGTTGGCCTGTGAAGACTTAACATGTAATTAGAAAACTTTATTTATGTGTAATGTTTGGAGTGTGTGACTCAGTGAGACTGTTATAGTTCCTGTGTTATAAACCCGTGAAGACTTGCGCAGATAGACTGAAGAGATTAGTGTGGAGTGATTTTAAATTGTGTAAAGCAGCAACAGTGTAATAATTAATTGTAGTTACAACCTGTAGGTGGTTATTAAATCCAGTTACCAATCCGAACCCTGTCTTTAGTCGCTGTGACACATGACAATATGAACATGGGCGCAGGAAGGACACTGTGTTGAACCATGCCTGTAGTATTTATTACAGGCTCAGCAGCATAAAGGTTAATTAGTGCAGCGTTAGTTTTTACATGAAGTGTCCAGTGCACAGTTACTTTTATTGACAATACTGTGAATTGTAAAACCTGAAAATGTAGAACTTAAAGTCTCATTCCAGCTTCCAGAGTTCTTACAATCCCAGAATTATATATTACACACTTCAGAGGGATTGATGGGTAACACTTGTGACTAATTTGAAACAAATCCCAGATGGCACTTTTCTGCATTTAATTTCCAAACTCATAACATGCAACCACTCATGACTAAAGGTTTAGAACATGTGACATACTTATTATATATGGTTATAGTGAGACTTTTAATGTTTCTCCAAGTGCATTTTCAAAGGGCTTATTAATAAAGATGTGCTCTTTCAGCCGCACCAGGGGTAATTCTTTAACACCCTATAATTAAAAAAGCACTTGAAATAGTTCAAGGTTTGATGGGTGTGTTGGTTTTTTTTATTGAATGACCAATTTATAATTTCTAACCTTTAAATTCCATGTGGATAGTGTTTGTACCATCTAATATATTTTTATAGTATAAATTTTATTTATTTGTGTAATTTATGCACTATTTTACCAAAGAAAATTATGGCTGAAAGTTGTGGGGAATAAAACATGTGACTACTACTCAGAGTTCAGTTTTACATGTTAGATTGAGACAGCTAAAGTTGAATACAGTGTGGAAACACAGCATGAATATTCACACCTATGGACTGCACTTTCTTCTTTGATGAACATTGGGATAAAGACATTCCTTAATAAAATTTTGACTGACACAGTTTTTTGTGGAAAACAGGATTACAGTTGAGTGTTATGTGGGAACACGGTTTGGTTCATCACATCTATAGACTTCTTTGTGTAATTCCTTGATGAACATTGAGATGAAAATTTGTAGTGATTAAATTTTGTTGACATAATTTCCACGGAAATTATGATTACATTTTCAAAGTGATGTGGCAACACAGTATGATGGATTCACACCTAAAGACTGCACTGCATGATTCACTGATGGATGTTGAAATGAAAATGCCGTCTTATAAAATTCTTATCGACACACAGTTCTTGTGTAAAGTGTGATTAAAGCTGAGTGTGATACGATGACATGGTATGGGTGTTCATGCCTGCGGACTCCACTGCATGATTTATTCATTAATGTTTAGATGAAAATCCCCTGTAAAATATTTTGAGCAACACATAATTTTCATGATAAAAATTTTTAATCACATTTACTTTTGCAATAATTTCGATTTGGTTGAAATTTTATCAAAGGTAAAAATACAGATTTAATTTTTCCCCTGAAATTTATTTTTTAAAAATGGTAATGCATATACTATGCAAACCTCTGCCCTGTACCAATTTTGCTGATGATAATTGTGTTTTGTTTAGTTTAGTTATCTGAAGTATGTAACTTAATCATTGACCACATTCAGATTGCTTTAAGAGCTTAAAAAATTTGTACACTCAGTTGAAAATAATTAAGTTCTGTCAGAAGAATGGGATTGTCTGATACTTCCTGAATTCTAGTTCCAGTCTGGATGAGATAGTCTCTGTGAGATCTTAATGCTGTGTTCTACACATTAATATGATAGAATAGCTCAGTCAGTAAAGTGACTGATGATGGATGATTGGGCTTGCAGCAGCAGGGATCATTTTCTTTGCTACTGTATCTGATCTGACTCAGGGGCCCATTGAACCCCTTATCCAGTGGATGCTAGGTTCTGTTTCCTTGGTAAATCAGCCAATTTTGAGGCTGAATGTATGTACCATAATTGTTTATCCTAGTAGATAATGTAATTATTTCTATAAACAAAGCAGTACAGAGATACCTTTGTTTTTCAGAGCAGTGAAGCAGCTGAGTCATATCGTGTTACTCGACTCCGGAATGACTCTTATCTAGGAGCAATTCATAAGGAAAACCTTCTTGTTCGAGCTGGTTTGCAGGTTTGTAATATATGTTTGATACATGAATTACACTGAAGTACATAATGAATGTGGTGTTTGCAGTACTGAAGATAGTGTGCTTAAAATATAAGTAAAATCTCCATTTAACATTTCTCTGAAGGTCTGTAATTTCAGAATTGTCATAGAGGATATTTACGAGTAATTAATGGTGGGATAATTTAATTATGACTCTTGAAATTGAGCCATCAATGAAGGAAAGCCTTTGTATGTTGGATTAAACAAAAATTTAAGACCAGTGTTCAAATGTATACAAGTATGAAGAATATATTTTTGGGTGGTGCGATGGGCAGTGAATGTGCTGGAGGTTTTTGAACTTTTATAGTTACAGTTACAAACCATGATGATATGCTGGAGACACTGAAATGAATTTGAAGAGTGTTTTAACACTAAAAATTAAATTAGTATATACAGTAGAACTTGGTTATAACGTCATCAAAGGGGCCTAAAAATAGTGTCGTTATAAACGAATGTCGTTGTAACCGAAATGGGCACTTCCACAGTAGCCTNCAAGTAGAGAAAGAGAGGGTGGGCAGACACATCGAACTTTCCCACGATATCAGAGAAATTCAGGAATGAAAATGACGTTACATACGAGGTTGATGCATTTGTGCATGTCGTACTAAGCAAGGTATAAAAACAGTTGCTTTATGAGGAATTAGTTCGTACCATTGAATATTTGACGCAATAGACAAGGTGTCGCAGAAACCGATGTTGCTATAACCAAGTTTTACTGTATTTGCATCACGTAAGAATTTAACTAGAAGTTTTGAAGTGACTTTTTTTTTGTACACAGTAAAACTGTGGTCAGTGTCCTATTGCCTGCAAGCATTTTCTTCAAAACATAAAATAAGAAGTTTATTTTACAGAATAAATCTTTTTGTCCATTATAGCACTGTAGGCATTATGTAACTCTTGTCACCAGAAAGGGTGAGATATTTTATTAATTAAATGGGAATGCTATGCTGTGGGATTGTACCTTCTCGAGTGAAATGCTAGTATTAATGAAAGTGAAGTCCCTGAAGCAAATAAGCATATTGTTTTACCTACTGTTCTCTAACAGATTGAAAGCATGTAAGTTGCGGGTAGAACTGGTTGACCTCGATCATTCTAGCATTCATTTAGGAACGCATTGAGCTCCAGTGTAACGCGGGAGATTAAAAGGATGACAGAGGCATGTTATCATTTTCCTTTTTACGGATATCTGTATGAAGCCTACGTAATATTAGCTTGTCACTTAATAAACTGTTCTCTTCACTCTCAAGATAGTCTACTAAGGATTCCAAATGATTAAGAGCAGCATCATGTGATATTTTCTTACTAGCAGCACTGTCCATCTCTTCCTCATTCTCACTTTGTTCCCGCTCTTCTGGCTGCACCTCCACTGAACTTACGATTTCGTCACTGCTTAACATTTCGAAGCCCGGCTCACACGAGTTTCTGTTGAATACTTAACACAACACACTTCCTTTTACACCCTGACGTTTTGCTAACACACTTAAAGATCGATACAAAGAGACTAACTGGGATGGTGTATCTGTCCTTGAAACTTTCCACAAATCCTTGCATTCTTTCACCCCTACCCTAGAACATTGTGTTAGCATAATGGGACCAAAAAATGCAGGGCTCGGTTCACACTAGTGCAAAAATAGTGTTAATACTCACCATGTGAAACAAAAGTGAATGAATATTAAACAACATATAAGCCTCTAAAAAGCCCTGGTAGCCCCGGTTAAGCTGCAAACCGGTTTATCCGCCCCCGGATAATCGAGAGTTGAGAGTACATGATGTTACAGAGTTGGCCTTACTCTTATCCTCAGGTGACTGGTTCTCATGTAAACTGATTGAAGTTTCCTGTTACTGTTGTTTTCATTTTTATTGGCTGCAGTCAGAACCCAGAGCCTGTGGAATGCCAGAAGTGGCTCTTGCCACCCTAATTCTTGAGACTTCTGACCTGCAAGGCTACCATGTCATCTGAGATTCTGAAAAGCACTGAGCTAATGCACGATAGCATTTTGTTAGGGCTCTGCATTTAGTGCAAGGATTAACCTTCATCATATGGGAATGTTGGACTTAAATCCCATGTATTATGGTGGTGGTGGCTAGATTTGTACTGTGGAGTTCTAACTAATAATGTTATTATTCTTGTGAAATGTAGATGAAAGCAAATATGCTGAGAAAATATGTAGTGTTGTTATCTGCAAGAAAAAAAAACGTTTTTAAGAATAAGAAGTTTGTAGATTCCTGAAATAAAATAAATATTACCTCATTTACTGCCATGATTCATGCTTCTGCATAATTTATGCACTGCTGTTTAACAGTAGTGCATAAATTTAAGAAAAATTAAATACCATATTTTTAGCATTGAAGTAGGCTGCAGATGTTTGTTTATATAGATATGAGTATACCATATTTACTCACATAGTTTGCACACCTCTGCACATGAGCAAGAAATTTCAGGGAGAAGGTTACCATTTATTACCCTTCATAGAATTTTTACTGATATGTGATTTTAGCAGAAAGTGTGATGGGAATGAAATGCATTATGACAGCATGGTATGGGGAAGACTGTGTTTTGGTTGAAATTTCAATAATAGGCATTTTTCTCTCAATTAGTGAATCACATGATGGCGTGAAAGGTATGAATATCTATACTGTGTTGCCCAATTGCATTAAAGTTTAGTCACATTTTTGGTGGAAATTGTGTCTGAAATTTTCTCAAAGGAATTTTCATCTAATTTTTAAGGAATCATATGGTGTGGTCTACATGTGCAGCTGTCCATATCTTATTTCCACATAGCACTGAACTTCAGTCCTATTTTCTTTGGAAATTGTGTGCCTGTCAAAGTCTTATGGAGGGAATTTTCACCCCAGTGTACCAGGGATTGTGAAGTTCATAGATGTGAATGTACATACCATATTGTCATATTTCATTCAACTTTATTCAAGTTTTCCATGACAGTTATATTTTGGGTGAACATTTATCAGGGGGGCGTTTTTATATCAGTATTTGTCAAGGAAATGAGTGGTGGAGTCTGTAGGAAAGAATATTCATACTGTGTTGTCACATCACATTCAGCAGCAATTCCTCCCATCTGAGACTTAAAATTATACTCTGAAAAGCAATGTGTACATATTTTACATACCATGATCTTCATACATGAATTTAATCATTGCATGTACTTCCTGCCCTTGGATAAGAACAGATGTGTGCTGAGGTTTATGAAGTACTGCACACAAGCATTTATGCTTCCTCAGCTCACAAAATATGGGAATGGCGACCTGCCAACATATGTGGCAGGTAGCTGTGTGTGGATAGTTGGGGTGAAAAAAGTGAGGGAAAGACCTAGAGGCACGCAGTGTGGCAGAAGTTGCAAGGCATGGTGTTCATACACTTATTGCTGCTGATACATGCACTGTACATGCTATATCACTCCAGAGACTGTCAAATTACATTCCAAATAAGTGCTGCATTCTCAGTTACCTTTTAGCTCTCATGTTTAGTTGGCAACTTGTAGCTGAAGACATATGCCCTGGACTCTACAGTTTAGTAGATGGGAGGAGAGGAAGAGTCGTATAGCAAGGAGGAATTCAATTCTGGTTGGAGTAATAGTATACACCACTTTTGCCCTCAAAGGACTAGGTAGATCACTGTGCCTCATGGTAGTAACCATAGTCCCTCCCACAATTACATACATGTAAGAAACCTCTTGTGTAATGTTATCCTTTTGGCTCATTCAGACAGTACTCAGAGCTCACAAGGTCCTTGATTGAGAATGGAAACTGATGATCTCATGGACAAGGTTTGCATAGAACCTGATTCTTTTAGGCTAGGAATGATTCACACCAGGAGTGTATAAGGAGGTGTGTATACAGCACTACATAAAATTACAGTGTCATAACTATTGTATGCTGACTCAAAATAAAGGGATATTTTAGAGTTACACTGTTTTGACACATGGCCAACTGGACAACAGGTATGCTGTCACAGTAGTGCTGCTCATGCTGATAATGATTAATAAAGCTGTTTTGATTTGTCTCATTCTGGTCCGTCACACTATCAATTACAAAGTAGATAACTTTTAGTCCAGTATGTCATACCGGACTGAAAGTTATCTACTTTGTAATTAATAAAGCTGTCTCTTGATCTGACAGAATGTACTGCAAGTGTCATACCGGACTGAAAGTTATCTACTTTGTAATTAATAAAGCTGTCTCTTGATCTGACAGAATGTACTGCAAGTGTCATACCGGACTGAAAGTTATCTACTTTGTAATTAATAAAGCTGTCTCTTGATCTGACAGAATGTACTGCAAGTGTTCATAACCCATGCAGCAAATGTATTCATGCTTGAAGTTAGTCCAGAGTACCCCCTACTGTTGGAAGAGCAGGTGGACACATGTAAGCGAGTTCTTAACATCTATCGCTACATGGTGATGCATACCCGCATGGAGTCCCGAACTTGGTAAGTTGTGTATTATTTATGGACCAATGTTCTGTGTATGTGGCAGGTATGCAGTTTTAATTTGCTTGAAAAAATTGTAATGTGATGGAAATTGTAGAGGCCATATGTTCTACATTAGTCTAAACAGAAGAGAGTAGGATAATACAGTATTCCTACATGTTGATTCTGAGCCCTGTTGAAATGTTAGGCATCATAAGCAAAAATATTAAGAACATTCAGATTTGAGTTTTACTAACTGGAGGTTCAGTTGAAGACTGGTATGAACTTCTGTCTTTGTCTCTTAAAATATACTCCTTAGGTTTCCATGGCTGGCTTCTTTGTGTCAAGCCCCCCCCCCCCCTGGGTTTTGTTATGGTCAGTCGTGGTTTTATCAATGTGGGACACCCTCTCTGACAAGAGGACAGGAGTCATGCTGCTGGGGTTCTACTTGTATTTCCGTGGGATATATCATGTAGAAACCATCCTTTCAATGGTTTCTTTGTTGTGTGTTAATTGTCCACCAATTTTTCTCATGTTATGTGCTGATTTGTTGCTGCAGACATGTATATTGGAAAATTGTTGAGATTGCTGTTGCTTTGTAGTTTTGACATTGAATCTTGCCAGGAGCCATCTTATGTGGCTGAATATAGTCTGCAAATGGGATATAGTGGCCACTCTGTTGCGTTTCTCTTGCTGTGAAAGTGACTTCAGCCTAGAGTTCGAGGCCCATTGGATGTCCATTACACTGTAGCCATTCTGCTGGAAAGTTCTCTTGAGGTGAAAGATTTCTTCAACTGGATTTCCTAGTTTACATACACATATGGTTTTAACCTGTTGGACAAGTGCTTTTGCAGCGGGTGGTATTGAGAACAGGCATGTAGGTACAGATCAGTATGTGTGGGTTTCCTGTAGATTGTGTGTCCTAGTGAGAGACTTGATGAGGGCATAAATTCCTCTTTTGTATGGAGCCAAAGCAGAATTCTGTCCTTGATCTACTTGTACCATTATATGGATTCTGCTGAACTGTGCTCAGAGCCTATTGTTCAGAATGTTCCATGTAGAAACTGGCCATGATTGGCACAAACAACAAATTATCCCATGGTGACACCATTTTGCTGATTATGGAATTTGTCATTGTGCAGGAAATGGATTGAAAGTAGGACTTGCTTGAACAAATCTGAGGTTATGTCATTAAACTGCTGACCCAGTAGATGCTGAGTTTGGTGAACAGTGAGATTACATGAAAACTGACCAAGATGCCTGAGTGCTTTAGGCTTATGGTCAGAGTTTGTGATGAGATGTTCAAGGAGTTCCACTGTTGGATTCATCATTCATCCTAAATGTTTATCCAGAAAATGTGTTTGTAAGTCAATACAATTCAATGTACATGTCAGTGAGACACTCTTCTTGCGAATTGTGGGTGGGCTGTACAGCCATGGTTGACCTGACATGGTCTTAGTGTTTTTGTTATTTTCTCTGCAATAGTAGATATTTTTATAAGTGCTTATGTCTTCTTATCTTGGCAGTTGGGTCAGTGGAGAGACTTTTGCATATGGTATCACGCTGAAGCAAAGCCATCTTGTGGTAGTTGTCGCCATGGTATCAGTGGCATTCCCTTTGTTTGCTGGAAGGATGGTAATGTCCTTGTCCTCCCACAGTGCTGGCCCTGAAATTCTTCTTCTAAGAAGATGATGGAGAACAGGGTGTTGAGAATATTTGGACCAAAGAGAGATGAAGTAACTGGAGGTTGGAGAAAACTGCATAAAGAGGAGGTTCATAACTTGTAGTCTTCTCCAAGTATAATTATAATGATCAAGTCAAGGAAGATGAGTTTGGCAGGGCATGTAGCACGAATGGGGGAGACGAGGAATACCTATATGATATTGGTGGGAAAGCCAGAAGGAAAGAGACCACTGGGAAGACCAAGGCATAGGTGGGTGGACAGTATTATAATGGATCTTGGAGAGATAGAATGGGATGGTATGGATTGAATTGATCTGGCTCAGAATAGGGACCAGTAGAGGGCTCTTGTGAACACGGTAATGAACTTTCGGGTTCCGTAAAATGCTGGGAAATTCTTGACTAGCTGCAGAATTGGTGGCTCCTCAAGAAGGGCTCAGGTCCGTGAGTGAGTGAGTAAGTAAGTAAGTAAGTAAGAAGATGGATTGCCATTTCAATTTCAGTGATGACCTCTGTCACATTGGATGACTGAGCAGTTATATGAATAAAATTAAGTCCTTTGCTTGGTAAGGGTTTGGGCACTGGATCCAGCTGTTTCAGAGATGTTTACAGTCTCTTTTGTCAGAGTCTACTTTGCTATATGGAAATTGTGCTTTGTGAATGAGGTTGAACTTCTGCTTACATTTTGAGGAAGCCTTTATTAACGTTAGGTGTCCTTGAGCTCTGTCTTTGCTCTCTACCAAGTCCCAGCTGTTTGCCTTCAGAATGACAGCTGATGAGATATATGTTTCCCGGAGGTAAGGTGTACTCTTATCAGTCTTCTTATGTGTATAATAGATACATTAATTTATTAGTGCATATCAGTGCCTGAGAATGCATCTTGCATCAAGGGTGTTGATGCAGTGTTTGGCTCTCATGCACATCGGAGCAGTCTGTTTGTTTTGATGTCTGAATAGGAAAGCCAGTGCTCTCAGCAGCTGGAATTTCTTCTTATGAAGGTATTCAGATGCTGGATTTTGTGATGCATATCCTCCCCACCGCAGTGTGCTATTTACGATTTGAAACTTTCATGGCAGCAGTATGCAATTAAGTGTTCTGACTGTGGCCACTGGTCCTTGTGTGGTCAGTGTTGGGACACAGTAGCTCTTGTATAAATATGAGGGTTGGAACTTTAATAGTGGCAACTATTTATTTACAACTGATACCAAATAGATGCATATTTTGAAGTCTTACTGTCCTTCACTGTAGTCACTAGCATTGTGTACAACCCGTTGCCAGTGATGTGGAAGTCATAGGATACCTTTAGCAGCGCTTGTTGTGTTGATAGTTCGAATGGAGTGGTCTACTTCCTGAAGAATCTCTGGAACAGTTCTGAAGCGAATGCCATGAAGTGGTTCCCTCATCTTAGGAATCAAGTCGAAGTCACAAGGGCTTAAGTCCGGGGAGTATGGTGGATGGTACAGCACTTCCCAGCCCCAAGAATCGAACAAATCAGCCACAGCTTGCCATTTCTGCAGTTCCGTCAAACCATGCGGAACCCATCGTGATGCAGTCTTTCTCATGCCCAGGTGTTCCTTCAGAATGTGAAGCATAGTTGTATGCACTAATCCTGTCTCTCGGGCCAGCTCACGAATCATATGGCGTCAGTCACTCTCCAGTAATGCAGAAAGAGCATACACTTCTTCACTGACACTAGGACGACCTGGCCGATGCATGTCTGCCACATTTTGGCATACCTCGTTGAAGGCTTTTACCCACCTTGCCACTGTTCTGTAAGGCAATGCAGATTCCCCGCAAGCCTCTTGAAGACCTTGATGACACTGTCGTGCTGTACGGTCTCTGGCACATTCAATCTTATCCAACTCCATTTTTCCTGTTTCGAAAACATCGTGACAGCACTACATTAGACTGCCAGCTAACATGAGGCTCTGTTCTTCTCGTCACTGTGCATGCGTATGATGTGAGAAGGGAGAGTCCATTTGCTCCTAGGTAAGGTAGGTATGTAACTAATGTGTGGTATAAGCAACATTATTTGGTTTCGTTGCATGGCGTCTCTACATTAGTGTTGCCACTATTAAAGTTCCAACCCTCGTACAATGTGTGAACACAATGATCATCTCATGAACCCCTGCTGGAAACATAAAGTCTCTGAAATGTAAGTGACCAACATCAACATTGATGTGGCTGATCGCTTGAGAAGACTTCATTTTAATATATATATATATATAATAATAAAATGCATTATCTGTTGTCACATATTAATTTTGGTATGTTTACAGTTGCACAGATTCAAGTTATATACAGTATCATTTCCTAGATGAATAGTGACTAAATTTTTCCATTATGTTATTCCTACAATTTTTGCTTGATAGAATCACCATGTATTATAATAGAATTAAAATACAATTTACAAATGTGATCACAATGCTGGTTTCTGCAGTATGTTTTTTTCCACTGTGTTTTGTAGCTCAAATTCATAAAGTGACTGAAATTATTTTTCCTCCTGTGAGCAATTTTTTACTGAAATGATGCCTCCAAATAGCTTGATGCACATCAAGTAGTTCAATTTGTTTTGCAGGGAGCAACTTCTGATGGTGTTACTCCAAATTACATCCCTTATCCTAAGCAAAACTCCCCCTAAACGCAAAGAGGAAACATTGGGTGGGAAACTGGCGCCAGCAATATTTCAGGTAACGTAGTGTGTCAGAATTTTCGTTCTGATAATTGAATGGTGGTTTTACTGCTTCATACCTTTGAGTTTGAGAGTTTGAGGTTACAGAGCCACCAGAAATTGAAATGGACAGTGCTGCAGTTCAGGTTGAAAATTTATGCAGGACTGGCCGAGATGTCCAACAACAAATAGAACTGAGTTTACAGGCTGAGTTCAGTTATCAATTTATTAAAATTAGGAGCACATCTTGTTTTGGCATGTTTGTGATTATACTATATGCTGCATGATTGTATTTTAACTCATACATGGGTTCATGTGCTGTTGATTCTTCAAGGTCCAAACTTCTTCCTGCCTTGGGTATGGAGTTCTTTTGGAGAACTCTTGTATGTTGACATCTGACATGAGTAGGAAGGAATGTATAGCATTGAATCTCTAAAAGATAACAAGGAAATAAGAATTCTACAAGCTGTCAAAGGAAACTGCATGGTAGTGTTGAACAAGTCCACATACATACAAAGAGAAGATGTCCGGTATACTAGAATTGGGGGTGTATGAAATTCTGTATAAGGATCCTACATCTCAAACTGAGAGGAAGATACAGAAACTTCTTACTAAACACAAAACTGTTCCCACTGCCTTGAAACATAAACTGACTGTTTACCATAGTAAATCACCCCACCTCTATGGACTTCCAAAGATACACAAACCTGACATCACCCTTAAACCAAGAGTTAGCTGTGTTGCCTCTCCCTGTTATGCACTATCAGATTTATTTTCTCCATAAGATCCTGAGCCCTCTATTTGGCAATACAGACCCCTTTGCGAAAACTTCATGAAATTAATATAGGATATCAACCTTCAAAATGAAGACTACCTTGCAAGTTTTGGAATCACCGGACATCTGTTTGTCAACTACATACTTCCAGTTTGAGGATAAGTTCTATCAGCAAAAGGAGGATATGTCAACAGAAAACTTACTAACTCCATTAGTCAGTAATGTATTTATGATACTTTGAGGATACAGCAGATCACAAACCCTCTAAATGGATAAGATACATCAACGACACTTTCATGATTTGGCCGCATGGACCAGCAAGATTGCAGTGATTTCTTCATCATCTCAGAAGCATTAGACCTACCAGCAAATTTACAGTGGAAGTTGAAACTAATGATACCATTCATAATATTGTGGCGTGGATGGCGCAACACGAAGTGGGGGTCGCGTGAACTCTGTGGTCTCGCGAGTGATGTCACATAACCCCACTCCTTCCACCAGTATGCAAC